GAGGAGGAGGTCATGTCCAAAAAGTTCTTACTTGTGCTGGATGATATATGGGAAGAGGATGAGGAGAAGGATAAAAGCAAATGGGAGGATGTGCTTGTCCCTCTATCTTCTGGGGGTTTTGGTAGTAAGATTCTGGTAACAACTCGAACAGAATCAATTGCATTGATGTTTGCAAAGGTTATTAAAAAGAAGAAGGAAATAGTTCAATTAGAAGGCCTAGTGGAAGATGAGTGTTTGCAGCTCCTCAACTATCATGCATTTGCTGGTGTAGAGAACCCTAACGATCATGGAAATTTAAGAGTCATTGCTCGAGATATAGTTAAAAAGCTTTTAAGATCTCCGTTGGCAGCTAAGGCCATTGGTGGTGTTCTGAATGAGAACTTGGATGTAAGGCATTGGAGGACAGTTCTAGAAAGCAATTTATTGGGTCAGAATTCTATCCATTCCATTTTAAGTCTGAGCTATATAGTTCTGCCAAATCATCTACGAAATTGCTTTGCATTTTGTTGTATGTTCCCAGAAGATCATAAGTTTGATAAAGATGATTTAGTCCGAATGTGGATTGCATTGGGTTTCATTCAGCCGTCTCAAGAAATGACTATGGAGGATATCGGAGGAAGTTATTTTGATGCTTTAGTAAAAAAAGCTTTATTTGACAAGGTCGGGGATGACTACAAGATGCATGATTTAATACATGAGTCAGCATCTAAATTTTTTGCTCAGGTATGCGGTAAATTTGTGGAAGATGAAAAGTCATCTCTCAAAATTTCTGAGGCTATTCGACACTTGTCTGTTATAAATGTAAAACCAGACATCTTAAGAAATATTGAGAAGTTGAAACATTTGCATTCTCTTTTCTTGTTCTATAAAGATTTTCATGATCAGGATCTTTGCAATGGACTTATTGAAGTATTGAAATCATCGAGAAGCCTACGCTTATTATACATATGGGCTTCAAAAGGCTTGGAAATAATACCTGAGGAGATTGAAAATTTGATACATCTTCGATACTTAAAGATTGATAGTTCTAATTTGACTATGCTGCCAAGATCTGTAAGTAATCTCTATCACTTGCAATACATAATCTATAATGTCTCGATGCCAAGCCAACTTGAAGGTGATGATATTTTGCCAAGTGACATTAATAACCTTTCTAACTTGCGTTACATGAAATTGCCCAAGAATGGTATTTCATCGATTTGTGAGATTGGGAAGTTAAAGTATCTTCAATATCTGTATAAGTTTATACTTAGAGATGTGAGTGGTTATAGAATTGGGGAGCTGAAGAATATGAATGATCTTTACAAATTAGGAATCAATTGCCTTGAAAATGTTAAGGATGGCGAGGAGGCTCGTAATGCCCAATTATGTGAAAAGAGGAGGCTCACAGATTTGACCTTATGTTGGAGTCGTAGTCACATTGATTCGACGAACAACGATTTAGATGAGAATGTGCTCGACAACCTTCATCCACCAAAATGTCTAAGGAAACTGAGCATAGAGAGATACATGGGTGCAAGGTCTGCAATATGGATGAACAATGTCAATTGGATCTTCAATCTAGAGGAAATCGAATTGTCAGA